TGTAGCATATCCCTATGAACTGACAACCTTTGAACATTACAGGACAATGGATTTCACCGGCCAAGTCCAGCGGTCCTGCTCAAGCGTTGGTTGCAATCCGAGTTGTTCTTTGAACAGGTGGCTCATCGATTTTGTTCCAAGTTGTCTCGGAAATGAGCGTGATGTCTGAGGCAGTGTCAACTTGGAGACGTACGAGCACCTGATTCACAACAACTGTTACGTGCGATTTTGCGTTTTGCGGTCCCTGTATCGAAAGTAGCAAAGACAGGATAAATGTGACGTCTTTGTTTTGTTAACGATGTGGGTACAAACGTCTTGACAGGCCTAGTGTAAGCGTTCTTGTTGAAAATGGCTGCACGGCAATGGACCTCCTAGAGCCCCCGTTTGTTGCATTTCTGACAAAGATGCTTCTTGAACGGGGAGAATTTGACGAAGTGCCATTCTCCACATTGTCAGCATGCGGATGATGGTCTGTTTGACTTCAATGAGTTTTGGACCGTCGCTGTACTCCCGCGCTGATTTGATACCGCCAACATATCCACGGGACATGGACTGTGACCTTGCGCAATCATGTTCGTATCATGCTTCAAGTTGATTAACCTCTGGCATTCGGAAGTGATGGATATGAGATTGATGTACGGGTCCTGCTCAATTTTATTAAGCAGCCTCATGAGTATTTCGGCATCCGCGGGTACTTGGAGACCACAAACGAAAATTAAGGCCTTGAACTGGTCGTCTGACATTTTTTTCATCCTGAAATGCTAGCAATGACGATTGACGGTACTGGTGTAAGTTACGAAATAGTCTGACGCGCATTCAACGAGCTTCATGCACCTGTATCGGACGCTGAATAAGGAAGACTGTTCACCAGAAATGTCATTTAGCAGAGGTACAAGTTGGTCAAAGGTAAAATCTTTGGGGCATTTTGGCAAGATAATATCGAGGAAGTTGTCATGCTCCTTGGTTTCCAGCTTCCGCAAAAGCAGTCTGCACTTCCATCCGTCATCAGCATAAGTGAATTCGGACCGGAAAAGATCTTCGTATCTTCTGAACCAAGAATCGAAGGTTAGGCTGGCATCCGGGTCATATTGAAACTCACAAATGCTGTCCGCAATCGCATCCGCTGATGACTGCTGCTTCTCATTGGTTGGTCTTGCTGGAACCGCAAAACGCTGAGAGATACATTTTCCAGTAATCGTGTCTGGCTTTCTTCCAAATGTTTCTGTTGATGTTGAAGTATTGCGCTAAGTTGCTCTACTAAAAACGACATAGTTCGTCGTATCCAATCAAACCATTACCTCCGTCGCCAGTTGTTATGCCAGACGAAAACAGAGCTGTGTAATAAGATGGTTATTTGCGTAACAGTCAGCCTCAAAATAGCGCAACAGGACGTGGGAGGCACTCTAGGTCACATGAACAGAGAATCCAAATTATCAATCAATAATTACGGCAAACGGACGCACGCGTTTAGCGTCTAGCCATGCACATCATTCGTTAGGATGTACCCCTCTTAACAGGTACCACAGCTTCTACCCCTATAGGTTCGAAACGCAAACGCTACAATCCTCTATCGTCGCACGTGACTTTCGTCACTGGCTCGGGATGATGGGTTGTTCTGAGCAAACGGGAATGGCATCACAAGCTGGGAATCACCACGTAGCATAAGCGATTCAAGCAAGGCGACCAAAACTGAAGCACAATTTCACTGATCTGGAGCAGACTCAACGTCGGTTTCCAAGTGAGTCATTGGAACGCGTAATTTGCCATATGAAAAGAGGCGGAAACACGAGTATTGTTGATTAGCTGACAATCTGCTAATGATTACATTGTTCTAAGCTAACAAAATCATATGCGCCGCTATTTACTGCAGGTTGGCAATAACACCTAACTGAGATCATTCCTTGAAACTGAACGAATAGTATAGCCGCCCCGAGTGTTGCGGAATTCTCTTGTTTGTTTGTGTGTGTCGCCCCTGGAACAACACCGCATTCGGTCTGTTTCGCAACAATACAAATCATGTGTGAGAACGGTTAGAGGAACCACTCAGGCACTTACATGTCTTAGCAATCGCAATGGGAACCATGATGCAACGATATGAAATATTCCCCAGAAGCAAGCTCAGTCGAACAACGGCATAACAAAGGCAATAGGCGAGTGAAACCTCGGTGAGGATGCCAATGTGCACTGCGCGCGCACTCATCCTGATTCGAGTCGCTACATTCATCAAACGCGGACCTTACAACATTGCGCTCAGTGAGCTTGCGGCACCCCGAAACACACCGCGGTCCACACGCTCTCCACGACCCTCCGGTGTCACTAGCCCAACTTCCATGCCGGCCGATCAGCGACTTCATGTCATTATTCCCAATGGCCAATTCATTCGCACTGATTCACGTGGGTGCCTCGCAGCATACGGAAAGTTCAGCGATGAAATGGGCGGACTCACTGCACAATCATATTTTACGTAGAAATGGAAATGCCTGAAAGGTTGCGTGCCAACCACCATGATCACTCGTGACTGCTATAAGCACCCAGGTGGCCCCACGTGAGTTTTGCGATTATACCCCCTAGCATGTGTGTAGCTTCCGTGTAGCCAATCACGCCTGAATACGAGTGTCGAGCGCGACTAGGCACCCACCAAATCGCACGCGATCTGCGCCACACCCAAGCCTTCTCTGGTAACTCATATCGTAAACTCGTCTGATATGCTATTGGTTGATTTGGGATTGGTCACTCAACGAGGGGCGGCTTTGGTGCGTTCACGCCAGGTGGATGATATTTGATTGCCTTAAGGACGATTCTAAAAGATGTATGGACGAAACCTATTTCCTAAAAGCTGAGTTTGAAAGCGTTATGGATGCACTTAACTGAGAGAGGTCGTGGATCCGCATTGCATCATGGCTAAATTGTATGGGCTATTCATCTAGTTCGCTCAGTGTCGTGAACTGTATCCACCTCGCTTTCCACAGGCGCCAGCTATCGTCTAGCGAACCCTCTGTCGTCTCTAATGGATTTAGCATCGCTACAACCTACTGCCAGCTAGAACAAATCTGCTGATTGCTAATCGTTTTCTTTTTTTCTTCTGTCACCTTGTGTGATCCTCCTTGAATCGGAAACCATGATCTGGGCCTCCATAATAATCTCTTTGATCAGAAGTTCACCTACTATTTATGGGATAATCTACGCTTCCTTGAGCGATTCCGATTCCTTCTTCCTTAGTTTTCTGCCGCTGGCATGTGGGCCTTGTTGCTCGTGTGGTGGCGATCGATCTGCTCTCAGACAATTGGCTCAAATTCCTTCAGCTCCCCCGTTCGACAGGCAACCAGAATGATTGACGTTGCGGCTTAACACCATAAACTTGACTAACCCTTCTAGATGCTTCACACTGTATTTCGAGAAGTGGTGTTTGAGATAATTGAAGCAAGTCATTCATGATGAGATACATAGCATAAACATTAACACCAAGGTACCGTACGATTTATGTCCGAACAAGTTTCTGTACATATTGTCAAGTGGGTACTACAGAACATGTACAAATTTATGGCATCATGAAGAGTTGGAACAATGTAACAATTACGTACTACTGTTGAGATAGCAGCCTTACAAGTATGCGTGCACACACATGCACACCCAGTCTTGGCAGTTCACCACCTGTTTACTGGCTTACTACCAGTGTGACGAACGCGTTCTTCTGCACACACTGTCTGGAGTCTCCGGCGACGTGGGACAACGATGACCGCTGTCACCTTTCCTTCCTAATTTCTTCATTCACGAAGTTATGGCGACTGCGTTCAGTGGACACGACCTACAAGGCGTGGAGCTGCTCCCATGTGACTGACTTCTTGACTTGGAGTACTCCGATCACATTGATCTTATTTGTGACAGATGCCAAGCTCGCCAAGTAGTACTGGACAAATTTCATTAGCTTCCAGTCGTTTCGGGCTTTGCTTTACACCCAGAAATGCAAAGTCCTTAAACATTGGCAGGAACCCACCCCTGCGCTGATTCTTGGCTGTGATCAGCTAGAAGTGATTGAGGAAATCTAGTATCTAGGCAGCTGTATCTGCGCCAGTGGAAAATAGATTGAGATCACAAGCTGCGTAGCGAAAGCTCGAGGTGCTTTTGCCAATCTCCGGCACCTGTAGCACCGGCGCGACATCACTCTCGTCTTGAGGAGCAGAGCTTACAATGCAGACGTCAATTCAACTGTCCTGTACATTTGCTTAATCTGGCCCATTAGATCAACCGACATAAAGAGGCTAGTTACGTTCGATAATCGTTACCTTCGCAGCTTAGCTCATGTCTGATGGGAGCACCGCGTGGGTAATATATGTGTTCGGCCTCGCGTATTTGGTGCATGAAGAGAGAGTAAACCGCTCAGCACCATTATATCGCGCATCAGGATCCGATGGCTGGGCCACGTGTTGCGCATGCCAGCGAACCGACTCCCGCGACGCGTTGTTTGCGCGCCCGGGGTAGGGTGAAAGAATTAGTGGGACTATGCCATCACTTGATCAAGAGGTATGGAGTTCCTCACTTAAAAGTTGACATCGGTCTTGTCTGCCGACTGCCTGGCTGTGGTCCCAAGGACGAGGAGCTTGTCTGGTTGGATACAGTAGTTGATATGGCGGAGAGCCGATCTTTCTTTGTCCCTCTTACTCTTGCTTATCTTCCCCTACAACCACGATCTGTCTTTAAGCATAACCTTTTACTAAGCAGTGTGTTAGCTGTTTTCGCCACTGCTATGCTTAGGATCTCGCTTCTTCTTATTTCTTTTTTTATTACCGCAGAATACTTTTAGTGTGTTCCTCACCTTAAGCGATCATGTGATGATGATGGTTTATTCTGGCATACCCCTTTGACCTCATTACCTGTGATTCCAAACTTACGTTTTGCCCCACGGTTTTCATGATTACCCCAAAGTCTCTCCAAACTTTACGTTGTCAAATTCATATATGGCATTCGAGTTCAAGAATTTCTGGTTCTTTTTTCTCCATTAGCCACTATTTTGCTATTCAACGTTCCTGTACTACCAGAAGCTGAGAAACTAGCAGAGACTGAGGGTGTTCAAATCAAGCAACACAATATTATCTATCGATTGGCCGAAGACGTTCGCGACATGATCTGCCATCGACTGCCACCTTTGACAGTGGAGAGGATTATTGGTGCGTTTCCATCGAGTGCTTGATTAGGTCCACGCTCACTGCTTTCAGTCCACTCGGTACGTTTATTTCACACCCATCGTCTCTATCCTTTGCACGCTCCAGGTGAGGCTGAAATATTGGCGCTGTTTGTTGTCAAAGAGTCTCGCGGTGGTGGAGCACCTCTCAGTATCCCTGTCGCTGGTTGTCGGTGCATCAGAGGTCAACTCTTATCAAATCCCAAGTCAGCGTCCGTGCATGGTAAGCACACTTCCTCTTCATCTTCCTCCTTTACTAAGTGTGATGCACTGTTCATTTGCGTGACAAGCATGCATGCAAACGTTACCCGTCTCGACTAGATGGCTTAGGAATAGTGACTCTAATTGACATCCTGTTGTAAAGGAAACGTTGTGCATACTAGCTACGTGTTATAAAGCCCACGTCTATATATCATGACGGCTGGAACCTATAAACTCGGGCCCATTTACGCACTTCCTTCGTGGTACCTTTCTGACTCTGTTCCGCTGCGCCCATTCATTCACAGCCTGTCGGTGAAGTTGGATTTGTGTACCATGCGTCCGCGGCGATCCACGTTTTTTCTGATTTCCTTGTTTCCACACTTACTACCCATTAGTGGTACACCACACTCTTCCCACTCCACACTTTCTGCAGCAATCTACCTCCCACACAGTCTCTTTGACTTTCGAGACTGCTCCATGTATACTGTAGTTTCTTCTCTTAGTTCGTACCACATCCTCAATTCGCTATCATGAACATGCCGCCTATCTCCTTGCCCAGCGATAGTGTATACGGGTCCTCGTCTACCGATTACGACATACGGTCCCTTCCATTTAGGCAGGAGTTTCCTTTCCTCGGGGCCACACGCCGCCGCACGTTTGTGACCTTCGTACTTCACATCCGAACCGATTGGAAAGTCTCCGGACGGTTTCCTCATGTTAACTGGGGATTTTTCCATCAACCGGTCCTGAGTTACCCTCGGTTCCCTACCTTTCCTTTTTACCGTGCTTACCTTGACGGTTACTGACACGTCCGCCAAACTCCCACTTCTGGACCCACAGGAAATGGATATCTGCGGCCGTTCACTAACTGGAATAGGGATCTCTTGATGCTTACTACTTTGGACGCGCGGTGGGCTTGCAAGAGTAGCAATAAAGCTTCCTCCTAATTTCTTCTGTTCGCTACCAGCCATTCTTTAACTGTCTTATTAGTCACCTCCGTTAATCCGTTTGTCTTGGGGATGGTAGGAAATGGTTCGTATCTTCTTGTTGCTCAGTTTCTCCAGACACCTGAGTTCACCGCCTTTTAAACATGGGTTCTGATCTGGCCTTCGAAATCCCGTGGCATGTGGTATCGTGCCAGCCCGTCGACCCGGAATCGCCCCCGCTCCAACCCAGCGGGTGAAGTGCTCGGTCACCCCAACTATATACTGATTGCCCTATCTTGTTACTGGGAACGTCCCCATCTCGTCGATTGACTACAACTCACCAATCTAGGATACTGGAATTGAGCGCTTAGATTGTGGTATTTTTTGTTTGTCTTCTTCCATGAGCTGACACAAGAGCACATCGACGTTCATTTTCATGCGCGGCCGGTAAGTTCACTGTCAAAGCATATCGTAAGTCCAAGTGCTCCCCATATGAACCATCTCTTGACAGGAGATCCGCAACTTTTGCGTCGCTTTCGTAAGAGGGGTGAGGGAGGGGATCACCGGCACCAAGGTAGCGTCTCGATCTTGTGTCCACATCAGAATTCCGGCCTCGTTGACGTGCAACTTTTCCAGACCGCGCAAACGGCCCGAATTGCTGTTTTGGCTTTTCGTTGTAGCAGCTTGATTCATTATACGTGCTGCTGTCACTCTGTTCAGGAGTCTGTCTTTTCGTTGTTCAACCTCCAACTTTCCCGGAGCTTGCTTCAGCACTGAACTACTGACTGAAGGCAATGTGCGGCAAGTCGTTATCGTTCATCATGCGCGATTAAAAATCAGCCATTCCTTTGTTTTTCCCTTGTATATAGTTTGTTGTGAAGTCGTATTCTTGCAGTTGCAGCGCCAAACTCTCTGACTTTCCTCCGGGATCTCTGTGATCTGTTTCAGCGTGAAACCGTTGAACCAGCAAGTAAGGCTGCCATTTATCCAGAGCCCAAACAATAGCCAGACACTCCTTCTCCACCGTCGAATACTTGCGTTTCGATGACGTCAAAATTCTACTAGCTTATTCGATCCTCCCTTGCTTTCGCTTCAGCACCGCACCAATTCTGACTTCGCTTAATCTTTGGCCACCGTAAATGTTCCGCCGGAGCTCGGTGATTTCAACTTCACTTCCTATCTCTCCATTTTCTTCGGAAGGTGCTTAAACACTCTCTGAGCTTTTGTCGTCCAAGTGAATTTCCTTATCCTAACAGCTCGTACAAAAGTGACGCCAAGCTTTTAAAATTCCTGACAAATTTACTGTGATATCCAGCGCGGCCCAAAAATACCCGAAGACTGTGTTCGGAGGTCGGAACAGGGGTGCCCTGAACTATCAATACTATCTCTGGCAGCGGCTTGATCTCGCCCTGACCCACCTTGCAACCAAGCAGCGTCACGTACGTTTTCCCGTTTTATGATTTAGGCCCATTTGTCCTCAATCCCGACTGTTGCACTTTTTGCGACATTGCTTCCAGATGACGGCAGTGTTCTGTCTCCGACTCACTATATACCACGATATCGTCTCCATACACGGCCACATTCTCTTATCTGTCCAACAGGCGCAGCATCCAACGCCGGAAGGTGATTGGGGTTCCAGACTATTTAACCGGCATCCGTTTTAAATTGGTAATATTTATAGCCGACTGCAAACGCCGTTTTCTCCCGGTCCTCTTGTTAGATCACCAGCTGCAAGTAACCAGATCTCGGGTGGGCCTTTTGTCTTCCATTGTCCCAATTTCCCATAAAGGAAGCATCGTCCCTTCGGCCTTATCTTCTGATAAGGAATTTGAAGTGCCCCATGTCTTGCGTAATCTGTTTCAGTCTCTCCTCTATCCTTTTCAAGCGTTCCTCTTCTTTTTGATTTTCTGCTTATTCTGCAGCGACTGCCTCATGTGCAAACTCACTTACCACTTGGTCAAACTCCGCGACGTCCGTTCCGTAGGCGGCGTTTACAGTCCGCAACCGATCGGCTATCATCGGAGGTAGACCGTCCAGAGACTGCTCCACTAACAGTTACTGTCTTGACGCGTGGTCCAAATTAGACATAGGTGGGCGGCGAAGATGAACGTGTCCGCTCCCACTTTAAGCCTGGCTGCTTTGAATCGCCGCATCGCATTCTGGCGGTCAGCTGGACCTTTGAACCCCGATATCGGCTCATCCTTCACGTCGGCCTATTCCAACTTAACTGGGCCCCTTCGTGTCGCCTCCAGAATCACCTTCGTTCCGCCTTTGAGGAGGCTCCGCAGGGCAACGTGCTTCGCTCCGACCATCTCCGCGGTCTCTTCGAATTTCTCCAGGAACTTCCTTACGTCCCCATCCTCAAATGGATCCGGCCAAGGGATCTTTATGCTCCACTTCCGGTCGATCACGCCACCAAGTGTTAAGAAGGCAACGCGGTGTAGACTAGCTACGTGTTGTAAAACCCACGTCTAGGTATTGTAACAGTTCGAAGATAGAAACTCAACCCCACTTACCCTCCTCCTACCTATCTTTCACTCTCAGTTCCGCTGCGCCCCTTCATTCACAGCTTATCGTTGGAGGTATATTTCTGCACCATGCGTCCTGCATCTGGTTGATTTGTGCACCACTCATCTCTCTTGCGCGGTGGTCCACGATTTCTCTGATTTCCTCGCGCTTTCTGTTTCCACACATACTCATTAGAAGCGACTACTATCCTGACATCCTGTCCTGACATCTCTCCACGACGGGTGCATGTGAGTATGTATGCGGTCGCGGAGTGCGGTGTTGCTGGCGAAATTGGTGCTTTTCAAATGAGAAGAAATCATGCTGTTTATAGTACACGAGTGGTTCATTCTTATTTACAATCTTTCTTGCTTGCATGTTAAATTACATTTTCTTGCTTGATACCTGCTCACATTTGTTGTCTTTTAAGCTGACGTGTTGCATTTGCTCAACTTCTGGACTTGTCACAAATTTGTGGAATTGCGTTGTAAGCAGTACGATTTGCCCCACCTACTTGAACTTTCCTTACTCACACTTTGCTGTTTGGCAACCTAGCGTACAATCGTTTTTTTGCCTGCATGACTTGGTATGTTCTGCGGAACGTTCCCTTGTGTCGCTCGAATGATTAAAACCAATTTCGTTATCTCTTTAGAGTCACTGTACGACTTCTATCCCTGGTGTATTGTGCACTAAACGTGTGTTCAGGCCATATTGCGCCGCCACTTTGAGTACTTAATAAAAGTTGAAAATCTGCTACGTGTTTACACTGCATGCTGAACGATTTACGGAGGCACCTGACCGTAGTTGATGCGTCACTGGTCGAGAACGCTTATCTGCCGAATGAACCAGGTTTTAACATGTGATGATGCGCATACTTCCATTATCCATTAAGCTGCGCAGTGTTGCTTTGCGAAGGACTTCCAAAACACTCGTAATTGGTCATAGGGAACAACGCTTATCATTTCGAAGCGCAACTGTGTCACCGAATCACAACATTGATTGTCACTAACGGACGAATGGAGGGAAAGTAGTCCACTAATAGCATTTGATGCCGTTTGTCCTCCCAAATTAAGGTATCCGAGTGGCGGATGGATTTAATATTTCGATTAGTCTTTCAAAGGCATGAAATCCTTATCCGAAATGATTCCCTTAAAGTGATTTTTAGTGTTGGTAACAACCTAAGAGCCATGTTTAACTGGGAGTTATAATATCAATCTACATCATTGGATGAAAGTATTATTCCAACCCATTCAACACCCGGTGCTAGGCAAGACTGAGTGAAACAGTCGTCCCGACGAATGCACAGTTATTATTATTCTCTGGGTCGAGCATCTTAAGAAGAAACTTAAGTAGGTCGCCTCCCAGATTGTTATTCGGTTCACGTGAACCGACCTGAGACCATCACTATCAATCATATCCGTCAATAGCTAGTACTGCTAAGACGAAGTGAGATGCAAGACCTTGACGAGCTGGTTCACTTGTCGATCAAAGGCAAATGGACATCCGTTTTTCAGTTTTGAGCCTTGGGTATGTGGATTGTTAGGCAATGAATCCCAAACAATCTAGCAGTTATCAATAGGTTCTCTTCACTCATATACTTATTTGGTAGCAAACTTTATCAGTAGAACTTACTAGCACACCATCACATTCCCGCATGGGGAACACATCTCCACACTGTTACCTGAATAAACAGGCGGCGGTTACATCTTTACGAATCATCATGGAAGGAGCTTCAGACGCCTTCAACCGGATGTACGTTCTGTTTGGCCTTCCTTCGGAATTGTTAAATTCAACTCAGACAAACGTGCTCCTGTGTGTCCACTTCTAGGTTCACTTAAAGAGACTCCCTGATGTTATTGTACGTTCCGGAAAGTCTCATTGTGAACTTATTCTTAAAACAATAATCATGCCTTCGAATTCAGCATCCACTGCTTCTGTTTCGTTCCTACTCGTATTTCCTTGCAGTTAAAATCTAACAGATAGCAGAACAGACTGAAGGTTATATGGTCTCATGAGGTCCGATTACACATCATTACTGTAATATGCAAAGGCATCCCATGTGTCTGGTTTTTCACACCTAAAATACAACTGCCTGTTTCCTGATCTTTCAGATGTCGCAGGTGATGTTGTCTCTATACACTACCGAGTTGTTCGGCCCTACAAAGCAGCGACAAAGACGACGATCTCATCACGGCCACACTCCGCTGCACCCAACGATCCCTCTACTTTGGATAATGCACCACTGGGGACCGTTGTTATCAATCAAGCAGCCTGTCGATCTATGCGACACCAGAAGACATTCGTAGATTGTACACGCAGAGGAGTCGAATGCGGACTGTCCCTCACCACATCGGAACCTTTCCCCGATTACAAGGATTCGGACAAGAGACCTAAAGTGTCATCCAGCCAACCGTCCTCGGAAAACTTCGTGTCAACTTGGGAAGTTGGCGATCGCATTCAGTGTTGTGCTATCATACGTGAACCACAGAAAATCCAGTGGGAGTTTTAGACAGCATCCACTAGTTAACGTAACCGACCAAATTAAATCCAGTGTCCCAGCTTTTCCTTCGTGATAAAGAAACTTTGATTGCGCACGACATTTTTGACAATATTTACTTGACAAACGTAGATTGTATGCCAACCCGAACTTCTTTAGTGGCTTTCAATCAGTCATCGCTGAAAACGTCTACATTTACCCATAATACATATGCGTCAGAGTTGAAATTTTTTGAGGACCAAGTTTCTACGATGCCACTGCTTGACTTATATTGTTCTATCTGTATTGGTGCGGGCGACTTTAATAGAAAGCATACAACATTTCTGAGGACAATTAGCTTGGCAGATCTAGTGACATTTGCCACCAGACGAGATACCCAGTTGGGCGCTGCATACTTGAATAAACGGCAGTTGTTTTTTTAATACAAAGCGGGCTTCTTTGAGCAACTCAGATCACTGTGTTTTAAATTTGTATCTAATCATATACAGCAGATTTTTTTCACGCTGACTAGACGTCCTTACAAGATCATCAGACGGCGGAATCGCTCCTTCAAAAATATCGCGAGGCTCCAGACGATGTTTTCTTTAACTCGTGCTGGTCTCTTTCTCGCCAACACTAACTTTCGACATAGCACCACAGAAGCGTGACTTGGCGCCCACCAGCTTCGCTCCAGCCATGGACGTAAATCGATCATATCGCGATTAGGAGAGGCGATGTCCAAAACTGTCGCTCGATTTGAAGCACCAGCACACTCTTATGTGTGCTGATCTGCGAGTGCGTTTCGGCGGACGTCCACAACGTCGCTCTGAGCGCATTGACACCAGCCAGCTGGCAAAGCCAGATGTTCTGAATGCGTATCAAACTTCGCTGGCATCTGGGCTGAGTAAGCGTCCATTGAACACCGTCGAAGATCACTGGTTGCATATTCATCAAACGTTACTATCAGCAGGCATATCTTCATGTAGCAAATCAAATTGCCAACCTAGACATTGGGTCTCTACAAACTCTCTTGAACTTATCGATGCTCGCCGACGTATTCCGACTGAAAGCGAATACAATGAGACTCGCAAAAATCTCGCAAATCTCAGGATCGAAGCTGAGATACGAACCCTATCGCAAAAGCTCAAGGTGTTTTCGCCACTCTCCGCCACCTGTGGCGCAGACGCGACATCACTCTTGCTCTGAAGGGCAGAGTTTATAATGCAGCTGTCCGTTCAACCCTCTTATCCGGTTGTGAAACCTGGCCCATCAGGTCGACAGACATAAAGAGTTTAGCCACGTTCGACTATCGCTGGACATTGTTGTGTTGTGTTTTCTTTTACTATTTCTGTACCTTGTTTTGAGTTCCATGGTTTCCGATGGTGCAATGTCTATTCATAGACTGTTGCAAAAAATATATATATATATCGCTGCCTTCGCAGCTTAGCTCATGTGAGCAATGAATGTGTTCGACGTCATGTATTTGGTGCAAGAAGTGCAAGTGAACCGCTGAGCACCATCATATCGCGCACCAGGCTGCGATGGCTGGGCCACGTGTTGCGCATGCCAGCACACCGACTACCGCGACCTGCATTGTTCGTGCACCGGGGGTGCGGTTGGAAGAGGAGGAGGGGGGCCAGGCCAGGGTCGAGAGAAATGAAAACCCTCACTTCGAAGTGGGCGTCGATTGGTGCATCCCGATTGCCTGTCTGGGGTCCAAAGGATGGTGAACACGTTTGGTTGGACACACTTGCTGATATAGCTGGGAGCCGACCCCAATGGTGTTTGTGTTGTGAGTTCCTTTGGCCATCCCTCTCCTGCTTAGCCTCCCTCTCCAATCACGAGCCCATTCGTTAGGCATAACATAACTGTTAGCTCTCCGGGACGCGATGTCCATCCGTTATTAGGGACTCAGCCGGCGTGCCTCTATTGTTTGTTTATTTTTCTTGCCTTTTATATTGCGACACAATAGCGGAGGTGTTTTCCACCTGCAGCTAACGTGTTTAATTATGATGATGATAACTGCTTTTTCGGTCTTCAACAACATTGACCAGTCGTTTCAATGTGACCATCTCACAGACTTCATCAAATAGTGCTTTGATATATGTTGCCCTGTTGAAACGACCTACCTTAGGGGGTTAGATTTTAATCGCCATAGCGACTTCGAAGTATGCAAGAATGGGCTTACCTGTTCAAGATGGATACTCGTGTCAGCAGTTAAACCTGAGATAAAATGGCTAGACCACTTATACGTCGTAGCGGTTCTAGGCAACCATAACTGTCATGATCTATGGAGGCTTTTGAGGCAGGTCTGTGGTAATAACGTCTGCAGCCACGGCGGGGAAGTGGATATGAACAAACTGAATTCTGGGTTTAGTTCCGCCTCACCAGGCTCACCCTGTTGTTCTTCATTACCTCAAGTCCAGCTGCGCCCTTCGATCAAAGCAACATTCACAAGGTACTCAAAAGATTAAAGGCAAACAAAGCTAGTGATCCAGTTGCTTTCTCATGATTTGCTTTAAAAGTGTGCTGCTTATCTCACACTACCTTTTCAACAAATACCTCACTATTGGTGTGATTCCGGACATTTGGAGAACGGCCAGTATAACCACAGTACCCAAAAAGAGATCTCAAGAGTATCGGCAGATTGCGTGTACCTCAGTGTTTCAAAAAGCTTGATTCCGCGGATTTTTACTCTTGAGGACGATAGCGACCAGTTTACATAAATATCCCGGCCCTCTACATTGGATGCAGTTGCATATCTTGTTCGTTCTATAGCCCCTGCATTCGACCAAAAATGTAAATCCGTATGGCATCTGCTTATTATTCGAATGTCTTTTGAAGCCTGGATAGGTCGACGTTGCTGAAGCTACTATCCGAAAATGGAGTTCACCCGTGTGTGTGTGTGTGTGTGTGTAATCTGTTGCGTGACTATTCTATGAATCCTACTCACTTCACCAAGCTGAACGGTAAGAAATCCTCTGTCCTCCGTGCCGATTGTTGTGTTCTGTAGAGAGCGATCCTATCACCTTTTCTGTTTTCCTTGTACCTTGAACATCTCCTTATACAAACCACGTCTATAGGGTGCAAATATTCTGATGATGTTTTGCTGGGATATATATCCCCCACTAACTAGGATTCCTTGTCACTTCAACGTGGGTTGGAAGATCTGGTGGAATGGTCTTCATCCAGATCCCTTACACTTAACGCTTCTAAATGCAGTGATGTACTATTTTCTTTTCTTCGTGGCGACAAGTTGCAGTCCCTCATAGATATCTCCTCCAATCTTACTGTGAACAAAAATCTCATACCCAGCTTGTCCACGGTCACGTATCGGCGAATTTCGTCCCAGGACCTTTTTTGGTCCGACTGCAGCAACTGTTTAGGGGTCTGCAACTAGGAGACAGGATGCCTTCGCCTTGTTATGACAGATGCAACAGCTCTTAGCCACATCCAGAATGGACACCGGGATTCTCCGCTAAATGTGGATGCAACGTCTGCCCGAAAACACACAGGGCATCCTCGCCCTGGCAAGCGCCCTGCCACTCACAGCAGTTGAAGAACTAGCAGACCGTGTCATCGAACGACATCAGCCAACAAATGAATCTAGAGCACTCACTCGACTTAGCACCGTCGCATCCGCAGCAACACCCGCGGCTAATGTGTCGTCAGCAATGGACGCTTTTGGTTGCTACAACGCCAAGTAGAGTAACTCGCCCTAGACCGTAAGCAGCTTGGCCGCTCTAGCTCATCGCCCGTCGTACGAAGCGTACCAATTTAGGCTTTTGCTTTTACCACTCGCGTTTTGTCAACAAAGCCCGTAAGTGCGAGCAACCATGCAGTTTCCCCGCCGCGAAGCAGGGAAACTTTCAGGCCGGTCCGTAATGACGACTAACGGTGTCAGCAAAACCCAAAGTCGCCTCATCTATATTAGGGATTATGATTCCGAAATCCAGTTCTTAGTTGATACCGGGGCGGAAATCAGCGTCATCTCCCTGTTCCAGGTGAGCCAGCTGTTTCTTTGTCGACAAGCCTAAGTGCCTCCAATGACACGCTAATAGCCACCTACGGTCATCGGTCGCTTACCCTGGACCTAAGTCTTCGACGCACGTTTGACTGACTATTCACCTTTGCTGTACCCCCCTTTGCCATCATCGGCACTGACTTTCTCAGGCATTTCGACCTCTTGGTCAATGCGAAACGCCAGATGGTTGTCGACACTGCAACGAAACTCGGTGTATGCCGCATCAACGCCGATATCGCACTTATCACCCCGGTGTACGCTTTTATTCACACGACGCCAACCTCTTCTCCCAGTGCTCCAAGCTCGTTCAGCCAATGAACACGGCCCTACATGTGGTATCCCAAGTCCTGCACCACATTCGGACGAATGTCTCACTTATCTCATACCATCCACACCTACGATCACCCGAGAAACTCAAGGTAGCCAGGGCGGAATTTGAACACATGCTCGAACTTGGAATAACCCGCCCTTCCGACAGTCCTTGGTCTTCTCCCCTGCGGATGGACCCAAAGAAATCTGGTGACTGGCGCCCTTGCAGTGAATACCACGCACTCAATCAGCTAACCGTCCCAGATAGGTATCCAATCACACACATACAGAACCTCACTGCATGCCTCACAAGTAAGACGATCTTCAGCAAGATCGATCTGGTTCGCGCCTATCACCAGATACCTGTAAACAAAGGTGACATTCCTAAAACAGCCGTCATCACTCCTTTCGGCTTGTTTGAATTTTTAAGAATTCCTTTCGGACTGTGCAACGCTTCATCCACGATGTCACTCATGGTCTAGACTTCGCTTATTCCTACCTCGATGATATTTTAGTAGCCAGTTCATCTGAAGAAAAGCATCTCGACCACCTTCGAGCTGTCTTCCACCTCTTGACCACACTAAGTGTGAACTCGGCAAATCAACGGTAGAATGCCTAGGCCACCTCGTTTCATCGTCTGGTATCGAAGTTCTTCCTGATAAGATCCAGGCAATTAAGGTCTTCCCAGCTCCAACTTTATTCAAGCACCTCAGTCGACGCTTCATTCCACGCTGCGTTCAGCTTATGCATCCTATGACTGATCTACTCAGAGGGAATGAACATTACTTCGCTTTCCTGGACACAGCATAGACAGCCTTCATCGAACTCAAGGATGCTATCTCTAACAGCTCTCCTCGCTCATTCCGGATCGACTGCATTACTTTCTATCACGACTGATGCCTCAGACGTCGCAGTAGGATCCGTCATCCGACAACACGTTGGTG